GGAAAAAGCACATTCAAATAATCGAGCTCACAGTGTCTCACATTTATAGGATGGTGACTGCTTAGAAAGATAGAATAATGACAAAAAGAAATGGAACCAGCAGATAATTAAAAGTGGATGACTGGGGAGATAATAAAAACTTATCCCCTGAAGTAGGCTTTGCAGCCCTCAAAAACAACCAAAACATTAGTCAACTGTCAGTAACTAATGAACCATAGATTAAGGTTCAAAACAATAATTTTTTTTCACTGTCTTTCTAAGCAGTCGCCTTCCCACAATCTGACAGACGGTACACAACTGAATTTAAAATATTGTAGAAAATAAACTTGCAGCCGTTCTTACACACATTTATTAAGAATACTTATTGAATAAAACAAAATATTTATTTGATTAATGTTATACAAAAAAAATTTAAAATTGCTAATTTTGGCTTTGCATTGATTTCAGCACACTTCAAATGAAAACTTTTTTTTTCCATTTGCTGAATTTTTCTGAGTATAATATAGCACTTACAGCCTTCTAGAAAGTCAGTATTTAAAAAAAAATAGCACTAACTTGTCCTTGTAACTTCAATATAAGTGTAGTTTTACTGACTTTATAGCCAATCATTGTTTCTCAACTTCAGTTGTCATGGTGCGATGTAATTATCTATATCATTGCTATGAAAAGTTATATGCTACTGATCTACACACATAATGAAAGCTCTGTTCTTTTCCACTATATTAACCAAGTGGCGACACCTATAGAGATAAAAACAAAGTGATATGTTGCTAGAAGAAAAAATATTGTGAACAACTTCTGTCATACTTACATTCCTAATTGTTTTTAAATCATGCAAAAAGTTAGCATTGTCATTTTAGGAACATAAGTATTCTTCACAAATTATTTTTCATTTGACCATATCACTTATATACACTTACTTCTATATATGACATGAATAACCAATCGAAAGCTCGGCCATTTTAATGGTCTTGGCACCATTTCTTTCTTTTGAACCAATATTTCAACAAGGTAGGGTGTGTCTTTAGTCTGTTCAAAATTTCATAGTCTTTTAGACTAAAATACATTTTAACTACTAAGCTTCATAAATTATAGTGAAATTCTATAGCATTAATGTTGTAATTTATGATTTTTTAGTTATTTAAATATATATATAAAACCTAAGAAAATGTTTTGTTTCATATCCTCCAAAAGCAAATTTTTTAAAGGCTTAGCAACCTACGTCAAGCAGCAACAGAGTACAAAGGTTGTAACTAGAAGAGATAATTGTTTGCTTTACTTCTTTATTTACTGTTCTATGTTTTAAGAAAAAATAAGTTTAAGAACTTATTTCAAAATAGCAATAATCTATTTGCATATATAATGTATAATAATTGAAATGTGACCATATTTTACAAAATACTAGTCTACTAAAACACAGCCAAGTCAAGTTGCTTTGCACAGACCAAAGGTCAGTTTTATGTTATTTGATACAGTAACATGACTGCATGTGAGCTGCATCATTGTAACTTTTGTATTGTTAGCCAGGCACAGCTGAAAAGTCAATATAATAAAAAAATATATATGTATAATGATATGATATTTAAG